TCCTTATTCCTTGGATCGACACCCACTGTAGCCTTCTTCTCGATCAAGAAAATTCCCGTTGTCTTTCTCTTTCACGACAATCAAGATCCACAAACACATTTAAACTAGGTTTGTGCGTGTAGATTTTGGGCTCCTAAGGCTTGGTATGTAAATGACTAAATAATAATAAAATTAATAATAATGGACGAGGGCTGCAAATCAAGTGAACCAGCAAAGCTTTATTCACATTAAAGATATGGACTAAGTTTCGGATTTTACACTATTAACCCTCAGGTTTTCCATATTAGCATAAATAGCCCCCAAAACAATTTTTCTTGCAATATAATGGTTTTAAGAAATTTCCATCCTTTTTTGAAAATAATCCAAAATCCCTCAATTAATAAATTCTTATAATATAATCATTTTTTATTATTAATTTTATTTTATCTATACTCACAATCCTTGATTAAATATTTGAACGGACAAAAGGGTGTTACACTTCGATATCATTTTATCAACAATCATGTCGAGGATGGAAACATCGAGGTTTATTTTGTGAAAACCACAAGTCAACTTCCTAATATATATATATACAAAGCCTTTGGATGAAAAGTCTTTTCTTAGGATTTTGTCAGACCTAGGAATGCTTGATGGAATTGTTGTTCTAAATAAGCTTTATCATGCAGTAATGAGGAGTCGACACTTCGTTGAATGAATTAGTAGTTACGATTCATTGTTCAACGTTCGACATGCTTCATTTTCGAAAATCCTCTGAACAATTCAGCTTAGACTTCGTTCGTTTGGTAACATGTATTATTATTATTATTATTATTTTAAATCTAAACGACCAAAAAGATTTTTTTTTTGTTCTTTTAGTTTTCACAAAACAAAAATCCAAAAATATTCAAAAACAAAAATTCCAAAAAGATTTTCTTATTTTTGTTTTCTTCATTTTCAAAACCAAAAATTCGAAAAATATTTTTTCTTTTGTGAGTTTAATGTTTTCAGGTTAGATATCAATCAACATTATATGGTGGTCGTTGGTTTCTTATTGGATTATTATATATTAATAAATATTATTTTTAATATATTATATTTATATATTAATAAATACTACTTTTTTATTACTAATTTTTTTTTTTTAATTTCTTCTTTTTTGAATTAATCATTTCTCATTAGATTATTATATATTAATAAATATTATTTTTAACATATAATATTTATCTATTAGTAAGTCTTACTTTATTGGATTATTAATTTCACTTAATTAAATTTTTTTATTTTTTTATTGCAGTAATTCTTTTTATTGTCTTATTAATTTAAAGTTATTATTTTTATTTATAATAAATAATATTTTTAATTGTTTTTATTTTTTTTAATTTCTTTCTTTATTGTTTTAAATAAAAATACCAAAAAATGACGCCCACCCCACCTTTCTTAATTTATTTCAAATATTTGAAAGATAACATATTTTGGACAACATCACCACATCACTCGGTCACAACAAACAACTATCGGGCCATCTCCAACCCATTTATTATTATTATTATTATTATTATTATTATTATTATTATTATTATTATTATTATTATTATATATTATATATATATATATATATATATATATATATATATATATAGTTTCAGTAATTATTTACGAAGTGAGATCATCGTGTGTATTTTAGTTTTTGTCTATTCACATGTATCTAAATTTGTTATATATTTCAATAAGATTTTGACATATATAATATTCCTAAAAATATTTCTACATGAAATACACAAAGTGCCGCGTCCTATGGTTGAAAATCGATTGGATAACTGCCAACAACCTTCATCGATTGCTCGGTGGAAACCCCACCAACTTGTTACACTCAATGCCGCTAATAGCCACCTAAGGCAACCTCATCACAATCCATCAGAATCCTTTATATATGCCACTAAGCTAACCATATTCTGCTACAACCACCATGAGGTCCGATCCAAACACTCCTGGTCAACTCCTCCATTCGTTGCTTTTTACCACTTTACGTCGTCGTATCATATCGATGGAAATCATCGATCATTGACTACAGTCGGTCATTCTCAACGAAAACTACACCAGTTGACTACCCACACCATGTGCAATAAACCCCCAAAAGCATATAGCCTCCAGTCGACCATTCATTACAGGTACCACCATCGATGACGACAATGTTAGATCAAGGGTATTCAAACCACCATAGCCACTATAGGTGGTGACAAGATTGTAGATCTCGGTATTCGGTATTCGTTCGGTCGACCGTCGAGTAGCGAATACTCGGGTTTGGTAATTCATATAGAAATATTTTTAGGGAAATTATATATGTCAAAATCATAAGTTAAATCATAAGTTTATTGAAATATATAACAAATTTAGATACATATGAATATAGAAAAACTAAAATACACATGATGATCTTACTTCGTGAATAATTACAAAAATTATATATATATATATATATATATATATATATATATATATATATATATATATATATATATATAAAGGGTTGGAGACTGTCGTGGTTTGTTGTAACTGAGTGATAGTGGTGGTGTTGTCCAAAGTATGTTATCTTCCAAATATTTAAAATAAATTAGGAAAGGCGGGGTGAGTAAGATTTTTAGTATTTTTATTTAAAACAATAAAGAAATAAATTAAAAAATAAAAACGACTAAAAAAATATTATTTATTATAAATATAAATAATAAATTTAAGTTAATAACCCAATAAAAAGAATTAAAGCAATAAAAAAATTTTAAAAATTAATTAAAGTAAATTAATAATCCAATAAAATAACACTTACTAATAGATAACTATTATATGTTAAAAATAGTATTTATTAACATATAATAATCTAATAAAGAGGAATTGATGCAATAAAGAAGAAACTCAAAAAAATAATTAAAAAAATTAATATTTATTAATATATAAATATGATATATTAGAAATATTATTTACTAATATATAATAATCTAATAAAAAATATTAAAATAAGAAAAAAAAGTTAAAAAAAAATAATATTGGTTCTTGTAGTTTGGTAAAAAGATAAAACTGCAGAAATGGTCACATGGGTAAATCTGTTATTTGCCAAAAGTTAACAGCAGTGTTGTTAAATTTGATGATGTATGGACCAAAACCACAACAAAACCATCAAATAGAGACATTTTTTGCTAATAATTTTTATTTTTGATGTTACCCAATGGTATTGCCAAACCACAGGGACCATTTTTACAATTTTATCTAATATATACTCAAACCTAGACCTAATACTATTCTAAAGTAGCACTTGACTAATGTTTCGAGTTGTGTCTTTATTTAAACTCCACAAAAGTCAAAACTATATTAAGACGGACGGGTGTGGGCAATGCCTTTATGGTATTATCCGATGTGGCAGCGCCATAACGGGCGAACACCGTCCCACCCTCCCATTATTAAATGTTATGTTACCCATCGTTATTGTGGTAATGTATCATAACACGTATAAATTCGACATGGTGATTTGTGGACACCGGAGGAAGAGCATGTGTTGATGGTGGCTTGGTGCGGGACTTCAAAACAACCAACTTTGGGGAACGATATGAAGAGAGTTGCTTTTTGGGAAGCCGTAATTGTCAAATTTCACAAAAAAATTGAACAAGAGTGAAACATATCGCAATCATGATATGCTTAGTTGCAAATGGACTCAAATTAGCCGAAAGTGCACCAAATTCAATTCCATATACAACAAACTTTATTCACAATGTCAAAGTGGTGCCAATGAGTTCGATGTGTTTAAAGCCAGGAAGGAGGAATATCACGTGCAAATGGGTCACGTATTTGAGTACAAAACAGTATGGGAGATCATTAGGAAAGATCGAAAATGGATAAAAATGCTAACATCATTGGAACAACAATCAAAGAGATCTCGTGGTTCGGGTTCGGTTGACATTTCCGATGAACACACAAACATCGACCTCAATGCGGACACCGAGGAGATCCCGGATGCGTTTGATGACATTGAGGAAATCTCTCCGCCACGACGATCGAGAGGGCCGACAAAGTGAAGTGCGCTCAACGACATGCGGAGCAGAATGAAAGTCGGCTTCGAGATCAAGAGGAAATGAAATGAAAAAATCGACGTCCACACGAAAATCACAAATATAATATATGAATTGCAACAGGAGCATTTGGATTTCCTTCGTCAACAAGCCGAAGAAGATCGCATACCAAAGGATTTGACAATTCTTACGACAAAAGAAGAAATTTGCCACCGAGACGAGATAAAGTGATACGGAGAATGAAGGCAAAGATCGAGAGTAAATACTTGGACGACGAATAGTTTATCGATGTTTTTTTGTTAAATTATCGTGTTTTTTTAGGACTATGGTGTATTTTTTTATGAATGTTTTTTTTTCCTTTTTAATGTTTTTTTAAGTTTGTATGGTATTTTAAATTTACTAGTTTAATGAAATTATGTTTTATTAATTTGTATGTTTTGTAGATATATGACATTAAAAAAACAAATTACAAATATATGAAGTAAAAAAATAAATTAGAATAATAGAAATTAAAAACATCAAAAAAAATAAAATAACAAATAGAAAATAGTAGGTGTTATCTTATGTTATTTGGTGTTGTCCATTTCCACCTTAGGTGTTATAACAAAAAATTAGAACAAATTACTGAAATAGTCCCTGTTGTTTGGATAAAGTTGTACGTTTGGTCTCTATGTTTTGTTTTTCACTCGGATCATCCCCATGTTTTCTTTTTATTACATGTCTGGTCCCTGGGTCAGTTAGTCGTCAATTTCAAACGTTAAGTCCCCCCACGTGCTTCGCATATGAGGGGTATTTTCATCATTTTATACATGGTGCCTAAATACAATGTCAATATTTTCTTCATTCCGATCATTTTACGATCACCTCCCTCTCACACACACACTCTCTCTCACTTAATCTGTAACTCATCAAAATCGAGTAGAAACCCTAACTCCTCAAAATTTTGCAAGAATCATCGAAGCAAAAATGGTGGGTTGGAGGATTAGAGCAAACATGGAAGTTTATGTTGAACATGGTAAAACAATGTTGCATACATATACAATGTCATCTACCCCTAGTAAAGTTAGGATAGAAGAAATCGTTGATCAACCTTCTTGTAGTAGAAGGCTATTTTTTGAATGGAAGGAAACTTAAATAGGGGATTGTATTGGATCAAGTAAACCAGATGTTGTGCCAAAAAAGAAGCTGAATGTGACCAAATTGATGCCCAATGTGAAACACAAGGTATATTTGATGAAATTCTAAATGAAGAACCTGGAGGGATTACTAATGAAAGTGACAATAGAGATGATGTTGATGATAGTGGTGATAGCGGTGATAGTGAGTTCTTAGTAGACTTAGATAACCTCCTAGATGAACCTGAGATAGACATGAATGAGTTTTTGTTAAATATTGATGAAGATATAGAGTGGGTGGGTGATCTTGGAGGGTCAAATGTCAAGGAAACAGAAACAAGGGAAATTGATGATATTGAGGTTCTAAACAATGAGGTATTCTTATATGAGTCATCATCTGATGAAGGTGGGAGCAATAGGAGAAGAAAATCAATTAAGGCAATCCGAAGGGAAATGGAAAACAGTGAAGCAAGAGTTAGTGATCCATTATATATGTACCAAAAATTCACCCTATTTGAAGAATTGAAAGATGCAATAAGACAACATAAGAAGGGAACTAGACTTCATAAAAAAAATGAAAAAAACAAAATGAGAGCTATTTGTAAAGGTACTATCCCAGACCTTGGTTAACTTGATCCATGTGGGCCCAGTCAAAGCAATAAAATGAAGAAAACAAGTGTTCATAGGTACTTTATGCTAGCAAGTGGGAACAAGATGTTGACTGGGAGATCAAGACCTACGAAAAAGAGCATATATGTCAACAAACAAGAAATGTGAAAGCTTGTACCTACAAGTTTTTGGCAAAGAAAATAGTGCAACAGATTGAAAGCAACCCTACAGTCCCTACACGAGCTTTACAAGAACAACTTCAACGTGAATACCATGTAGATATTTCAAAGATGAAGTTATTTAGGGCTAAAACTGAAGCATTGAATCAAGTGATGGTCGATTATGCAGGGCAATATACTACACTACGAGACTATGTACAAGAACTTCACACTCGCAACCCAGGGACAACAGTTAAAATAGAGGTCGAAAGTGAGCCAAACCCAGCTTCTGAGACTAGAACTTTCAAACGGATCTACATCTATCTAGGGACATTAAAGAAAGGTTTTCTAGCTGGTAAAAGAGATTACCTTGGTTTGGATGGGACTTTTATGAAAGGGCCTTATCCTGGAATGATACTCACAACAGTGGTAAGATGTAAACACATATCTTGTGTCATTTTATTCCATTTTATTTAAATTACTAACTCCTTCACTATGTTTAGGGTCTTGATGGAAATAATTGTACATATCCTTTGGTGTATGCTGTCGTAGAGGTTGAGAATATAAATTCATGGACTTGGTTCTTAAGGTGCTTGAGTGATGACATTGATTTGCAAGCTAATTCCAACTTTACCTTTATATCTGACAGACAGAAGGTAAGTAATTTTAATGGACTTGGTTCTTATTGTACATTGTATACATTACATCTAATGTTGTTTACTTTTTGTACAGGGCTTGTTGCAAGCAATTGGTACATTGTATCTATGCGCATAACACAAGTTTTGTTTGCGACACATTCATGAAAACATGAAGAAAATATGGAGGGGAAAGGTGTTTCAGGACGTGTTGTGGAACTGTGCAAGTACAACAACAATACAAGAATTTAACCATGCTATGGAAAAGTTAAGAAAGCTAAAAAAAATGACTGCTACAAATGGGTCAAAGCTATTCCACCTCAACATTGGTCTAGGGCACACTTCACAGGTTTGTTTATTTTTTTGGGTTAATTGTTACCAAATGATTCACTTTCTCACATAATTTTTTATTTATATTGTAGGGAGGGCTCATTATAATGGGCTTCTAAGTAACTTGTGTGAGACCATAAATAATCAAATTAAGAAAGTACGCAACTAACCAATTATTACATGCCTTGAGTACATTAGAGAGTACCTTATGTTAAGGATTGTGAGTTTCCAAAAGGTAATTGATAAGGCTGTTGGACCATTAACTCTAACCGCAACTAGTATGCTTGAAAGAAACAAATATGATGCAGCTCAATGTGTGGGTAAGTTCTGTAGGAATGGAAATTATCAGGTGAGTGGTCCATGGATGGAACAATGTGTGGTAGACATGGTTCAACACACATGTTCTTGTAGAAGATGGGAACTCACTGGTATACCCTGTAAACATGCCCTTGTTGCTTTATGGGACATGAGAAAAAAATAAGTAGAATGTGGGTGTACCTGAAGAATGGGTTCATTCTACTTATTGGTTAAAAACTTGGAAGGAAATGTATTCTTTCAAGATTGAACCAATTAATGGAAGAAGAATGTGGTAAAAGTTTCCATGTCCAACCATTTTGCTTCCTCCCAATCATCACGTCCCCATTGGAAGACTAAGGAAGAAAAGAAGGAAGTTAGTTGTTGAATTAGAAGATATGGTGAAGGGTAGTAGGGCATTAAGGAAGGACAAGAGTATAACATGTTCAAAATGCAAAAAGCTTGGTCATAATAAAAGAAGTTGCAAAGGTCAAAGTGCATGTGATGCTAGTTCAAGCAAGAAAGGGAAGGCTGGGAATAAAGCTAAAAGTGTAGGTGATGGTACTTCAATCAAGAAAGGGAAGGATGGGAAGAAAGATCAAAGTGCAGGTGATGGTAGTTAAAGCAAGAAAGGGAATGTTTGGAAGAAAGCTCAAAGTGTAGGTGGTGGTAGGCAAACTGGAACTCAAAGTGCATATGATGGAATTTCAAGCAGGACAAGGAAGGCTGGGAAGAAAGGGAAAAATATTGCTTAACTTATGATTGTGTTATCATATTTTGTGTATGTGTTATGAACCAATTATGGTGTTATGATCTATTATGTTTGTTATATTTGTCATTATGTTTTGTGTATGTGTTATGAACAATTATGGTATGACTTTTGGGACCTGTTGTCTATGTATGGTATAACTTTTAATGTATCTCTATTTTCAGTTACGGTATGAAAAATTAGTGCTATAATTCGTTGCTATGTTTTTATTTTAATTCAATTCCATTTAATTCAATTCTATTCAATCATTTGTAACAACACGAAATTCAGGTACCTCCAATTAGCCCTTCATCTTTTTATATGTTGTCATTTTGGGCTTTTGTGTTGGGCGAGTACGTTGTGCGTACTCGCGCGCCTCATTTAAACGCATCATCCCCCGGGTACGTTGGGCGTACCCAAGGTTACGCTGGGCATACCTGGTCTAGACCCAAAAACCCTAATTTGGTGGTTGGCTATAAAAGGAATGAGATGGACTGGTTCCTCAGCCACCATCCTTCAAAAAGAAACCCTAAAAGAGTTGTTCCATCATTCATAGCTTGTTTGTGAGTGTTCTAAGCTTTGTGGTGTCATTTCAAGGTAGCAAAAGAGAAGAGGAGTCCATTGTGGAGGCTAGAAGTTGGTGTTCAAGTGTAGATCCGTGAATAACAAAGGTTGGAGCTTCTTCCTAAGGTAAAAAGTTCAGATCTTGCCTTGTAGCTATTGTGGTATGCTTTATGGACCATTTTCTAGGATTTTGGTCCCAAGGATGGAGACTTTATGAGCAAGTAGTCTCCATTGGCTTAGATGCATCGTATTTGTGGTCCATTTGAGTTGTAGGTTCATAAAAATGTAATCTTGGTCGTGAATGATTAGCCATGCATGAGATCTAGATCTTTTGAGTTGAAATGGAAAGGTGTTAAGGAGTGTAGGAGCCTTTAAAGCCATGCCAAGGCTTAAAGGTTTCGACTTTATGGGTAAGGAGGCTTAAAGTGAGCCGGATCTAGAAGTTGAAGAAGTGTCTTAACCATTTAAGACCAGAAATGAAGAATGGTTGAATCTGGGTGTTACACTGGGCGTAACTCCCAGTAAGCGCAGCGTACTGGGTGGAGACCCCCGATTGTGGATTAGCGAAGTACACCCCGCGTACATAAGTCTGTACGCCCCACGTACTATGAGATGTTGACTTTTGTTGACCTTAGGGTTTTGGTCAACATGTGGACTTTGAGTCAACGAAGGGTAAAATGGTCTTTTACCCCTCTGAGGAATATTAATAAGGGTGAAGCCTAATTGTGGAAGTCTATATTAATTAAAATGATATTCGTTATGATTAGGCGAGGTTGAGTCTTCGTTTCGAGATTCGGAGATAGCGAGCGCGTGAGATTCTAGACTTTCCACGAGGTGAGTTTTCTCACTATACTGTACCCGGAAGGGTTTTATTATGTGACCGGAAGATCGGATATGTTAGGAGTTGTACGCATTGTATATGATATGTTAACCGTTTTTATGTGCTATATATGCTATGCTTGATATGGGCCGGAAGGCATTATGTTATGGGCCGGAAAGCATATATGTTATGGGTTGGAAGGCGTTGCGATGTGGACCGTAAGGTTGACGCGGGTAGGACCGGAAGGTTTACCGAGTCGGGACGGAAGTCCCCTGAGACACATGGACTGGAAGGTTAGGGCCCGGAAGGGCGTATGTGCGTAAGTAGTATTTTGGGGAACTCACTAAGAATTTATGCTTACAGTTGTTGTGTTATGTGTTTCAGGTACTAGCGAGGACCGTAGGAAGGTGCCGGCGTGATCTGTACACACTAACGGAAGAGTTGTTTTATGATCTTGGGATATATTTTGTTACGATTACATTTGTTATACATGTGATTTCAGAATATTAAATGATGGTTTATGTTGTTTGAAAAATGAAAAAATTGTTTTGAAAATTCACGTTGTTACATCATTCAATTTAATTCCATCAATCATTTAATTCAATTCCATTTTAATTCAATACCATTCAATTCTATTCAATATCATTCAATTCTATTCAATCATTCAATTCAATTCAATTTCATTCCAATAGAAAACCAATCAATTACATTCCATTACAAACCACTCAAATCCATTCCATTGTAAAAGAGTCAGTTCCATTCCATTCCAAAAGAAAATTGCATTCCAATAGATATTCTAGTCATTCATACATTGTCATTGAATTACATTACTGCCTTGATGAAACAAAAGATAAGTACATTGATAGCATAAATTAAAGCTTGTAAATTAAAACTAACACAAAAAAACCCAACTGAACACTAATAACAGCCTCAAGGCCCTATTCTCATGTTGAAGCTCATCCAATGACTTTTGTAAATCAGGGGAGATACTTTTTTTAGTTTTTTCACCATTAAAGTTGTCTTCATCAACCCAATCTATGAAACCACATTTTGCTCCCTGCATTTTGAGTAATTTGTTGTGTGTTAAAGGTATGTCATGTATAGATATACTTAAGAAGAAATTGTCATTACCTTCCCAGTACAACAATAGAAAAGTCTTCCAAGGTTTTACTTGGTAGTCGATCTTCGTATGACACCAACTTGACCACACGTGCAGGTTTTTTCCATTAGGGTTGATCGACTCTTCACAAAAGAGGAAATAAAAGAGACGAAGAAAGGGCGTATTTGAAAATAGAAAGAATCAAAGTTTAGGGGTGTTCTAATAGATTTTGTATATAAAATGATGAAAATACCCCTCATGTGCGAAGCACGTGGGGAGACTTAACGTTTGGAATTGACGACTAACGAACCCAGAGACCAGGCGGGTAATAAAAAGAAAATGTGGGGATGGGTTTGAGTGCAAAACAAAACAAAGGGACCAAACGCGCAACTTTAGCCAAACCATAATGACTATTTCAGTAATTTATTCAAAAAATTATGATTAGGATGATGAAGTGAACATTTTTTATGTGATAACATATAATAACAACATGTTGCCCACACGTTTAACAGAAGTTTTGATCAATGACAAAATGTTTACTTGTTTATATTTTTCCAAGATCATGTCTTTTATAGGGATTCGATAAGATCCATGAGAATGATTTGTGTAGATATTATTTTATTAACTTTTTAAGATTTAACTATTTATAAAAAATTGTCACATCTTCGAATCACTTTTGAATCTCATAGCTTTTTAGCCTTAAGATATTATGACGTTTAAAAAATAACAGAAATCAAATACCTTTATGTTTTTTTATTTTTACTGTCTTACTATTCTATAGATCAAGAATATCAAAATTAAAATATAAAAGTAAACGAATAATTAACGGATTTCATTTGTCATTATGTTATATATTATATGAGTGTGAAGATAGAAACAAAATGTAGAAGTATACTTAATTTTTCGAAAAATAAATTGAAACTTGATATTATTTTATAAACATGGAAAAGTCCAAAGATTTTGCGACGTTTTGTCTAATAAATCATAATAAAGAACTATCTGTTGCATTTAATTTATATATTAATTATACAAAATATCTTTATTGTTTTTTTAAATCTCTTTCGCCTACAAATCTACAATGTTTTCCTTGTCCCATATGGGGTTGAGCCGTTGAGCCAATGAGAAGCTAAAAATTTCGCTTTTGGACGGTGCCCTGATGTTGATGTGAAATCAATTTTTGTTCGAATAAATTTAAAAATAAATGGTTTTAAGAAAATGTGTTCTTTGAAAAATATAGTTAATGAACGAATAAGTAATATGAAAAAGAAGAAGAAAGTATTCACC